TGGGGGTACATTACCTTTTATTATTCACATGGAAACACAACATGCATTAGGCAGGAACCATACATTACGCAGGTACGATGTAGGGTATTGTTTAGATTTGATCAATAATAAGTGACAGCATGTATGTGTGGCCCGGTTATCTTGCAAATCACTAATTATATATGGTGTATACAGCACTATAGATACAGATTGGAGCTTAAAATATGCTCCTATTCTCACCACCAACATCCAGTGATGGTTCTCGTTCACAATTCCCACGATGACTGTGTGTGCCATTGGATCAACCTGAGAGTAGTTGCAAAAGTATTACATTCCTGTTGAAAAATGCACATTTGCAACATTTACAAAAGCAAAGTCATTCCAATCATGTACATACCCGGATTCTTCCAAATGTGTGTTTCCAGATGGCGGTCATAGCGTAGCTGTCAATAACAGCTGCTTGACCGTCATTGCGCTGGTTGATTTTTCTGGGTATGGTTCTAGGACTGGTACCAATAAATGGAGCAAGTTTCATGAATGTCACACTTTTATTTTTGTAAGATAGCAAGGGGGGGCATATTGTGATGGCCAGGCCTGTCATAAAATTCCCCCCCCACCAAAAGAGGTTTCTATGAATCCCACCCTCAAGCATTTTTCAGGGTATGGTTCTAGGACTGGTACCAATAAATGGAGCAAGTTTCATGAATGTGACACTTTTATTTTGTAAGATAGCAAGGGGGGGCATCTTGTGATGGCCAGGCCTGTCATAAAATGCCCCCCCCCACCAAAAGAGGTTTCTATGAATCCCACCCTCAAGCATTTTTCAGGGTATGGTTCTAGGACTGGTACCAATAAATGGAGCAAGTTTCATGAATGTGACACTTTTATTTTGTAAGATAGCAAGGGGGGGCATATTGTGATGGCCAGGCCTGTCATAAAATGCCCCCCCCCACCAAAAGAGGTTTCTATGAATCCCACCCTCAAGCATTTTTCAGGGTATGGTTCTAGGACTGGTACCAATAAATGGAGCAAGTTTCATGAATGTGACACTTTTATTTTGTAAGATAGCAAGGGGGGGCATATTGTGATGGCTAGGCCTGTCATAAAATGCCCACCCCTCCAAAAAAAAAAGAGGTTTCTATGAATCCCACCCTCAAGCATTTTTCAGGGTATGGTTCTAGGACTGGTACCAATAAATGGAGCAAGTTTCATGAATGTGACACTTTTATTTTGTAAGATAGCAAGGGGGGGCATATTGTGATGGCCAGGCCTGTCATAAAATGCCCCCCCCCCCCAAAAGAGGTTTCTATGAATCCCACCCTCAAGCATTTTTCAGGGTATGGTTCTAGGACTGGTACCAATAAATGGAGCAAGTTTCATGAATGGGACACTTTTATTTTGTAAGATAGCAAGGGGGGGCATATTGTGATGGCTAGGCCTGTCATAAAATGCCCCCCCCCCCCCACCAAAAGAGGTTTCTATGAATCCCACCCTCAAGCATTTTTCAGGGTATGGTTCTAGGACTGGTACCAATAAATGGAGCAAGTTTCATGAATGTGACACTTTTATTTTGTAAGATAGCAAGGGGGGGCATATTGTGATGGCTAGGCCTGTCATAAAATGCCCACCCCTCCAAAAAAAAAAGAGGTTTCTATGAATCCCACCCTCAAGCATTTTTCAGGGTATGGTTCTAGGACTGGTACCAATAAATGGAGCAAGTTTCATGAATGTGACACTTTTATTTTGTAAGATAGCAAGGGGGGGCATATTGTGATGGCCAGGCCTGTCATAAAATGCCCCCCCCCACCAAAAGAGGTTTCTATGAATCCCACCCTCAAGCATTTTTCAGGGTATGGTTCTAGGACTGGTACCAATAAATGGAGCAAGTTTCATGAATGGGACACTTTTATTTTGTAAGATAGCAAGGGGGGGCATATTGTGATGGCTAGGCCTGTCATAAAATGCCCCCCCCCCCCAAAAAAAAAGAGGTTTCTATGAATCCCACCCTCAAGCATTTTTCAGGGTATGGTTCTAGGACTGGTACCAATAAATGGAGCAAGTTTCATGAATGTCACACTTTTATTTTGTACGCATAGCATATATGCTGACAAAGACTATGTAACATTTGTAAACATATTTAGATTATTAGATGACAACTATGTAAAATTAAACAATACATTTTAAAGCACGTTTATACAGACAGGACGTAACAATAATGATAAAAAAAACATTTAAAAAAACAAACTGAAAAGGAAGTGACGAACGAATTTCGACACCTCATATACGGAGCGAAAAGTTAAACCAGAAGAATCAAGACTATGAGCTACCACTAAACAACTCACAGTCTGAAAATTACCATTAATAAAAACCCTGAACGTTTACTTTTCGTTTTAAACATCGTTTTAAGGTGTAAACCTATGGTGTTAACGTGTCATTTAGAGGTGTAAACGTGTCATTTAGAAATGCGCGTTCCCGTGACAAGGGGGGCATTTCATGACGGGGAGGCATAATGTGACACAACAACGGCAGGCTGAGATCCTCACCGCTGATTGGCTTCCGTGAGATCGCGTCACGTGAATTTGACGCTCGAGTTGAAAAAATGGAACTCTCGCGTTTAACGCGGCACCGTTCAATCGCCTCAATCGCGTGATTCGCGCCGCGTCCACCGCTTCATGCTCGCCGTCGGAGCGAATTCGTGTCTGTCCGCGTCTCTGCATTGACTTTACATGTAATCGCGCCGCCCCCAAACATTGCATCCGGTCTGAACGCAGCATTACACATGATAGAAAACATGGTTTAGTTTGTTTTATTTTGAAATTGACATTATTCAAAACAATCCTCCATTCCACTCAATACAGTGTTTTAAAAATGAATGAATTCACACTGAAAGATGAAAAACATTTCTGAAAGATAATACAAATTTTAAAATGGCAGAGAAATGGAACTCCTAGAATTAACTTACAAATCTCCCTTTGCCAAATACAATGAATACAATATAACAGGGTATATGGGTGCACTGCTCTTCTAACAGGGAAATAAAACACATAACATAAAGAGTGCAAACACCAACATATGGAAATAGAGTGTTACAGTTGAAACAAACAAATACAAAAAAGCACAGAACAAATGATTGATATAACTGCTTAATCTGCTCATGAGTCACTTCTTTTTCACATTTCAATCGAACAACTTGATCTTCAGACTTTCTATTCAGCTTGTGCCAGATTCATCACTACCTTCTGCATGAACTCGAAGGTGTGTTTGAGAGCTCAAATCCAGGGCATAAATAAGTCCCAATAGCATGACAAACCCCACAATCACGCTGCCCAAGGTGTCCATGACTATATTGCCTTCGATGACAATTCCCACATCCTCTGGCTGCCCATCCACATCTCTATGAAGTGTGTATATGCCCATGACTGTGTGCCATGTCCATCATAGCATCTTCAGAGGCCTGAACAAAGACACACACATACAACACTTGTGTTAACTAAAACCTGAATTCACCATAAAACATTTTCATTGCAACTGCATTTTATAGAAGCAGATTTACTTATGTGGCTCTCCAATTGATCAACACAGTTTAGACTAACCCTCTGGTATCATTCAAATGTACTACATATTTATTTATTCATTTATAGATGTATTTATATATAAATGTAAATATTTATTTCAGCATTCATTTATTATTTGTATTTATTTCCAGATGTATTTAGTCATGTTTTAATTCACATTTGCTTTTATTTATGTCTGTATTTATCAATTGTATTCCTATGTTAATTTATAGATGTATTTATATCTGTATAAATGTATTAATTCATTTTTTTTCTATATTTATTTTAACACTTGCTCGATGCAATTACTTCTGTATCTATTTTTGTATCTATTTATATCTGTATTTATTCATTCTTACATATATTCATTCCTATATTAATGCCAGCAGCATCAGAGCCGGGGACACCAGCAGAATCAATAAACTGATCAGGAAAGCTGGGTCTGTCATCGGCATCAAGCTGGACCCTTTTGAAGCTGTGGTGGAGAATAGGACACTGAACAGGCTGTTGTCCATCATGGATACCCCCCCCCCCCCCCCCTCTCCACCTGCAGCTGGACAGACAGATAACCCCACCGACCCCACCCATCCTCTCCACCTGCAGCTGGACAGACAGATAACCCCACTCATCCTCTCCACCTGCAGCTGTACAGACATATAACCCCACCCATCCTCTCCACCTGCAGCTGTACAGACATATAACCCCACCCATCCTCTCCACCTGCAGCTGGACAGACAGATAACCCCACCGACCCCACCCATCCTCTCCACCTGCAGCTGGACAGACAGATAACCCCACCCATCCTCTCCACCTGCAGCTGGACAGACATATAACCCCACCCATCCTCTCCACCTGCAGCTGTACAGACATATAACCCCACCCATCCTCTCCACCTGCAGCTGGACAGACAGATAACCCCACCCATCCTCTCCACCTGCAGCTGGACAGACATATAACCCCACCCATCCTCTCCACCTGCCGCTGGACAGACATATAACCCCACCCATCCTCTCCACCTGCAGCTGGACAGACAGATAACCCCACCGACCCCACCCATCCTCTCCACCTGCAGCTGGACAGACAGATAACCCCACCCATCCTCTCCACCTGCAGCTGGACAGACAGCGGAGCTCCTTCTCCAACAGACCGCTGTCACAAGGACCGATACAGGAAAACATTCCTGCCTACTGCAATAACTCTGTACAACAAATCACCTCTGGCTGGAAGAGAACTCTTTGCTCCATATAGTTTCTCTTGGGATGTGATCAATAAAGTACTATCTTATCTTAAATTAAAAATAAAAGTCCTGCAAGTAAAGTACAAGTAGGCCTACCTAAGAATTGTACTTAAGAATAGTCATTGAGTACATGTACTTAGTTACTTTACACCACTACTGTTGTTCATATTGAGTGTAAAAAGATGATGTGGCATTAAACCTGACTTTAAATTAGATCCTGTTTGCGGTATTCAGATTATCTCGGTTTCTACCTGCTGGAGGATTTCGGTACCACATCACCACACGGCGCCATATTAGATACACATTATATTGCAGCGGACCAAGCCAAGGAAAGGGAACTGGACTCCAGATGACAAGGCTTCTCAGGCCGCAGTAGTCAATTCTCAAAACACTCGAGGTGAATGTTTTATGGTTGACAACGAGTAATTGAGTCAAACATCTCGGGCAGTGCAGTCCAAGGCGTGCTGTTTTCGTCGTTGTTTCGTAGAGTTGCCGGCAGACATGACTTCCTTGGTTCAGCGGAGCTCGGGCCTGGTGCAGAGGCGGACCGAAGCCTCGCGCAACGCCGCCGACAAAGACCATCCGGACGGCGAGGAGGACGAGGAGCCCCGCCGGGGAGACGAGCCGGACGATGATGATACCGGAGACTCCAAAGAAACACGTCTCACCTTGATGGAAGAAGTGCTGTTGTTAGGACTGAAGGACCGAGAGGTAATAGCAGATACATCCTGGTCTCTAACGCAGTAACATGAAGGTAAATCTTAACATTAGACGATGGTATGTTGCCCAAGCTAACGTTAGCGCCCTTGTTTGCTATAACGCTAGCTATAGCTAACAATAATAATGGGCCTCAGAGCGCCAGGCCGAGCTGTTTATGCCTTGAGTCTTAACACGGGTTTGACTAATAACATAACTCAGCAGTGGTGGTCAGTGAATTGGATATTATCTTGTGACAGATAGTGTTTCTTGGGACTTTTGTGCCTATCGGTACGCTGATGCTAGCTAGCTAGTTAGCTTAACTGAACACAGAGAAAACGATTACAAACAGTGGCCAGAGTAACTCAAACAAATGCCCATGTGTTAATGATCTGTTTGTTTGTACAGTCTGGTAAACATGTTAGTTAACAGGAATGCTGAATGTCAATCTTCTGCTATAGGGTCAGTCTTTAATGTGACCTTATCACTGATTAAAAAGTGTACTCGTGAGAGAATTCTAAAGTATTGTCAACCCACTTGTACTATTTCCAGTCTTGTTTTTAATTTGTCTTCTGACACATCGTATCCCAGTGGAGTAGATTCGGATTTGTTCACTGATTTACAGGGAAAAAAGCCAATATTTGGAAATCAATGTAAAAAGTCTGAACTATCTCTAGGGCACCCATTTCAAATATACGTTTTGTTAGAATTTCTACGGAGGATTACTGTCTTAACATGGCTAGTGCATTTTCTTTTCGAATCTCAAAAGAAACGACATAATACAAATAATAAAAATCCATATCTAATCTGTTACAAGTTAAATGAAATGTATGAGTCAAGAAAGTGTTATTCGATCAATATCAAAAGCTGATTTGTTTAACTTTCAATTTGACTTTTGACTGACTGACACATTCCAATCTTGCAGCCAACTCTGTTGCAGTGATTGATGGAGAAACACCTGATACTGCACACAAAGCAATGCACATACCTAAGGATACTTGACCAGCATTTTTGCATTTTATAGGAAGGCTTCTTCATCCTTTAACTACAAATTGAGTGTGGATAAGGCAGTTTGATGCCTACGTTAGATTCCCCAACAGTTTGATTTAGTGCTTACTGCTTGCAACCGGATGTTTGTAAAGTAGAGTATTTAGGGATAGGCGTTGCTAATTAGCCCAGGCTGTAAATGCTGTGGTATGGTTTATCATTCATACTTCCCCCGGGCCCTATACAATTAAGCATTGCCTAAATAGACCGAGTGCAATATGGTTGAAAGCTCAGGTTTGTTTTTCAACCGAAAACGTATTAGATTGGAATCAAGTGACTTTCGTGTCTGTTTTCAAATCTGCATCAGCTCTTTTGGTTTTATTTGCTTGTGTTTCTGTAAAGCTTTCTCTAACTTTTTTAAAACTCATGTCGATGACTTGACTGACAGGAACTGTAGGTGTTGTTTTCAAAGTGTCTGTTTACTCACTGAGCTTATCCGCTTGAGCAACAGCAATTCTCCTGGCAGCCAGTCCGGGTCCAGTGAGCTCTTCTGTTAGTTTAGCAGTTGCACGGTAACCTTTTGACACACCAGGATTCTTACATGTGTTTCCATGTTGCAGGGCTACACCTCGTTCTGGAACGACTGCATCTCATCAGGGCTGCGGGGGTGCATGCTGATCGAGCTGGCTCTGCGAGGACGTCTGCAGCTGGAGGCGTGTGGCATGAGGAGGAAAGGTCTGCTGGCCAGGAAGGTAGGACGCCTGTGTCTGCTTGTGCAGCTTTTTTCCCGTTTGTCTTCATCTGTGCTTCTACCACCATCTTGTATTGCAACCTGCACAGTTATTCACAAGCAGCTTCAACAAACTCGTAACAACTAACTCGACCAGTGTTCCAAAGACTTAGTGAGTGTCTGGACATTTCCAAGGGAAGTTAAGTTAAGTGCACCTTTTTTTTTCTCTAAAGGGAACTTCTTTGGGCCAAGGGGGCACATATAGCACAATACTAGGTCTGATGTGCACTGTCTGAGCTTACTGACTGCAGGCATCATAATACCGAAGAGTATATAGTTGAGATGAATTATATTTGAATTACCAGCAGATGGTAACCTAAAGAAAAGTACACAGTTTATTATTTATGAACATCTTCTGCTAGGTTTCAGCTACCTGTGGGTGTGGAATCATTGAGCAGGCATTATCCTATTCCAGTATTCTTCTTGTAAACACTTATTTAGACCCTAGCTTTGCACTAAGTGTTTATTGTTGGCTTGACATTTCAAAGTTTACCCATTAATCAACTTGCAAGCTATTGAACTTGTAAAGTCTATGTATTTGAAACATTTATAGATATGTTTTCAAACTAATGGATGCTTTCTGTCTATGATATGGTAAGTGTATTCCGGAAGGAAAGTTTCCACTCAACTCTATTCTCTACATGCCTAAACTCCTTACTGTTCCATATCCCTTCATCGTTGTTTCTAAAGCGCAGAGTGAAACCAAAGAAGGAGTTTTCCAGTTATTGTCATAATGTACTCGGATGAATTGATTCATTTACAACACGTTGTTTGTTTTAATCCGCTTCTGCAATCTGAGGAATGTCTGTTTTACGTCAATGTGAAATTAAACATTTCTAAGATTAGAAACGGCAAGGCACCCCCACCACTCTGCACTTACAGCAGAAACACTCAAGCAGCAGAAGCACAAGGTCTGCCCTCAGAGGGACTGTGTAGCCCCTCTTAGGGCCAGGTCCTTTAGTAAACAGTGTTTCTCTGTGAGGGCATCAACACTCTGGAACACAACACCGATACAGATAAGGAATAACACCTCCTATCATACATTTAACCACTATCATAAGAACTGGCTTTTCAGCAATCAAAAATGTGAACACTTTGAACTGTATCATAGTATGATAGTATTTCATCTGTTTGCAAGTTTACCTGTTCCTATTTATTGTTGTACTGCTGTTGTCTGTATTCTATTTAATGATGTTTTTATTTCTCTAGTCTGGTTGTGGTTATTTAACATCTTGCCAAGCACAACAGTTGAAAATGTACCTGTTGGCTAATACTGGCTCATTTACAGCAATGTGGATTCATGTGCACTGTCCTTTAAATAAACAAACAAACTATATTTGGGCTGTTGGTTGAACAAAACATTTAATTTACAGATGTCAGCTTGGGCCTCTAGCATTTGGCATCGTCTTCACATATTTTATTGACCAAACAACACACACTTTACAACTGACCTGCCATCAGTTTCCGTGTGTGCTGTGACGCGAATGTCACTCAGCGATGTTAGTAGAGAATTAACAAAAAAAACTGAAGCTTGTGTCAATGTCAGCGTCTGTCCTCTGATAACACTTTGTAACCGTCATCATTCTGACCGCGCAGGTGATCTGTAAGTCAGACGCTCCGACGGGCGACGTGCTCCTGGACGAAGCACTCAAACACATCAAAGACACTCAGCCCCCCGAGACCGTGCAGAGCTGGATCGAGCTGCTGAGTGGTGAGTTCAGGGCCAGCATCGGCCCTGCACCCCGTGGTGATGCTCAACTTGAGGCAGCAACAATAATCATTTTAAGTGATGGTAGTTTACTGCTTAACTTTGAGAATTGATGATACTGAGGGAAGAAATAATCTGTTTATGCTTTTGTACAAAAACCAGGGCTGGGCAAGTTTACGCGTTATTATCGCCGGCAAAATGTTATTTTTATTATTATTATTTAGAAAGTCCGTTGCTCACTGGCTCTGAATACACATACAGACCAAACATGGGTCATAGAAACATTGAGGAAGGTACCGAACTCTGACAAGGACATTTGACATCTCTTCAGACGGAGGAGTTGATAGAACCAGAGTTATTTGTAACCAACTAGATAACACATAAATGCTGTGGCAGTGGCAAATATCTTTGGTTTTATATTTGATTTGATTACATTAATTAATGTTGAAGTTGAGATTTACAAGAAATATTTGTAACTGCTGTAAAGGGAATACTGCTGTTAAAAAGCACCTTATTGTTTAACCTGTTAAACCCCATGCCCCCGCCCGCGCAACAATATTCACAAAACTGTGTCTCGGGCTTCTTAACCTATTAATGTGTCATACCCACTTAACGTGAAGAAACTCAGCCAACTGACGATATGAACCATTTCTACAGAAACAAAACACAAGTCTAACGCTGAGCGTCTGAATTGACACCAAGCGAAAGAGTGCTAACGCACTTAGCACATAACTCACGGTAGCAATATGGTATACTTAAAGGTGGGGTAGGTAAGTTTCAGAAACCGGCTGGAGTGCACTAAAATTTGAAAGTACACAGCCGAAAAGAATCCGCCCCTTCCTTCAGACTTCCTTACAGAGCACCTCCTCCAACACACATGAACGCGCAATGCACGCCCAATGACGGCACGCCCAATGAGGGCACGAGATACATTTGTGCGTGCACGAGATGGAAGGCTGACAGACAGGGCGGCAATCCAATCCGTTTAGCCGGGCCGCTTTTTACAGCGCCACGGCTTCCACAGATGACATTTTGTTATGGATTTTTTGTCAAAGCACTTCAGATATTCATTGCTATCGGGATGTTAAGAGCATTCCATGGAATATAACAACAAGTGTATCTCGAGCCGGTTTCTCAAACTTACCTACCCCACCTTTAATGCAATCTGATAGATATCATGTGAAAGCTGAGATTCCACAGATTCCAATGGTATAAGTATCATTACTGCGACCAAAACTCACGGCAGCGAAAGCCAGGAAAGACAACACACAACTTCACTTTACAGGCCAAAACGGCAAATACGTCTTACCTTTGCTGTTTTCTGATCAAAAGTTGTGTTCAAGGTCATTAAAACGCATATAAACACTGCTGAAGGTTAATCCAATGTCTTTGTGTCACTTTGAAATGATTACTGATAATCCATCATAACATTTATTATAATAAACTGATTTTTCATATAGAGTGTAACGAAGTTTCAGTTTGGGCAAACTGCGTGCGTATCATTCTCACTCCTCACTGGTAATGTTTAGGTTGATTTAGGAACCCCCCCTCGATTCTATTGGCTCTAACGGTTCAAAAGAGGTGTCAATCACCAAAATCGACCAATGGGTTCCAGAGATATGGGTTATGACCCCAGAAGTGGTTTATTTTGTTCTTGTTTTGCATTAATCTTGATACAGGGCACTTATTATATGTTGTAGTTTGGATTCCTAAAGCTTTTAGTCTACTATCCCATCATTCAGGGGTGGTCTTCACTATCAGTAATGTTTATTTTTTTGGGCGGAAACTATAATTTACATTTTTTACTATGTTCAATCTGAATTGACTTAATGTTTTTAAATAAAAAGATCTATATTGATTCTGACTTGTCTACATCCAACTCACAGGTGTGACCTTGCTTTGAGAAAAAAGATGATTCATTTACCCCTTGTAGAAGTGAAGTTATAGTCCTTTGTTCTGGGAATGTCATTTTCGAGCCTGAGGCCTGAAAAACAGGCTCAGGGCTGAACAGGTTAAAGTGTTTGCAAACCAAATGTTGTTGCACTTTTGTTCATATAGCAGTATTTTTTTTAATAAAGTGCGCAGTACACTACTTTTTGAATTAATTATTTAATTTTGTGCATAACAATGCGATTAATCGCAATACAAATTGTAACCGTTGCCCAGCACTAACAAACACATTGGAATCTTTTGTATTTACCAGATTTGTATTACGTTTCTTTTTAAATCGTAATTTAATGAATAATTGCTCAAATATCATAAGATTTCAGTCTAAGCCTACGTCAGCGATGTGTGCAGTATCCGAGATACTGACTCGTTTTTATTGTCCTTTTCAAAGCGCCTAGTTATAGATGAGCACATCAACATTTTGTCAGAATACTTTTATCCATCCCAAAGAGGGGAGATTTACATTGTTACATCGAGTAAAGAGCCAAAGATAGCTTAATATTTATGAAGAAGCATGCATCAAATATTAAAGATAAAAGTAGAAATTAAACTTTCCCAATTTACAAAATACACATCTGTTACAAGTGACAGTATTTATAAGTGTAGCATGTATACAGTTTTAAGATGGCAGCCAGGTGATGGTATTAAAGGTCAAAGTATATATACCAAAGTAGTATTTCACAACAGGGGTGTTCTAGTGGATTAACGGTCTTTCTTTTTATCGTCTCTCTTCAGGAGAGACGTGGAACCCCCTGAAGCTTCACTATCAGCTGCGGAACGTCCGTGAGAGGCTGGCCAAGAACTTGGTGGAGAAAGGCGTCCTCACGACTGAGAAGCAGAACTTCCTGCTGTTCGACATGACCACACACCCTCTGACCAACAACAACATCAAGCAGCGCCTCATCAAGAAGGTCCAGGAGTCTGTTCTGGACAAGTGGGTGAACGACCCGAATCGAATGGACAAGCGGCTGCTGGCGCTCATCTTCTTAGCCCACTCCTCTGATGTGTTGGAGAATGCCTTCGCCCCGCTGCTAGACGACCAGTACGACCTGGCCATGAAGAGAGTGCGCACGCTGCTGGAGCTGGAGCCCGAGGGGGAGAGCCTGAAGGCCAACGCCAACGAGCTGCTTTGGTCCGTGGTGGCCGCCTTCACCAAATGAGGCCCCACAGAGAGGACAGCGAGCAGTTGTGGCATTCAAGTGGCATTGTACTTTGGGGAAGGAATCAGAGCCCCCAACATGGTGACTTGACTGAATTACAGTTTCCCCCCCCCACCTGGGCTTTTGGAATGGGCTGCCCTCTTTCCTCATCCCTCTTCCTCTGCTCTTTATTTTCCTTCCAGATGACTGTCCCTGTTGATCCTCCATGGCCACGTCCCCCCCCCTGTGACGTTCGTGTTCACTTTTGCTAAAAATAATAACTAATGGAACTCTGGATGAAGTGGTAGGGTCATGATATGGGTGGAGGCTGAAATCAAGATTCATATCCTTTTTAATTTTCTATCGGGTGTATCTTTGGAACTGTTTATGTAAGGCACAGGCGACTCTAGGTAGCGCCCTGACCCCCCTGAGAATAAAATAACTAACGGAGATGTGCAGGGCGGTGATGCTTCACAGGAAGGAAAGGTTAGCCTGTCTTTAAATGTATGGATACGATGTGTTCGGTGTCCCAGCATTCATCAACTTTAAAATTAAGGACTGGGTAGAAACCAATGTGAGATATGCTCTTAAATCCATCCTGGATGTTAACCTGTTGGTCCTGTGCAGGGCGCTGGAGACTGACACTGGCAGGGGGGGGGGCTACACCCTGCACATGTCACCAATATATCATTGGGCTGACACAGACAGCCAATCACACCTGCAGGCAGTTTTAAGTTCATCCGACCTGCATGTCTTTGGACTCTGGGGGGGGGGTGTTGCAGGCACTTGGTAAAGATGGCAACAGCACTAACCCCCCCCAGCCTGAGAGCGCCCTACATTCCATCGCTGCTGGCCACGAGTGTGTGGAAGATGGTCTGCCTACACATGCATGGATACACACAGGCCCAGGGATATGGAGTGTTGACTTGTGTGACTTATCACTTACTTACACCTCAGCCCCATTGAATTCTGGGAAACCAGTTTAAAATGAAAAGCCAAAATATAGAGAAATTAATTTAACCGTGCCGAGATAATAGAAATTCTAAAATGTTGCTCACATGTCTAATTGACAGGGCTGATAGAAGTGCTACGTATGATAATGAAAGGCAAATTGAAAATGATGTTAATCTTTCTGTCATAAAAAGATCATACTGTTTTAAATATCCTCTGGCCAGTAGTGTTTTTTTTATTCACAATTTAACGGGAATTTTGGCGGAGGACTTGGGCTCGTATCGAATCTTATCCAGATGCACTGGCACAATGTGTGCACGTCTAACATTAAGTACATTCAGGATTCCAGGATGTAGTATCATTTGAAAGCATTCACATCTTAGTCTGGGTTTATCTTGATACAATGTGTAGTTCATTGGATTTGGTGGTATCATCCAACATCATTGTTATGTCCGTTAAATGATTCAAACCCTCGTTGCATCAGCACCTGTTAAGTGTCAAATGCAAAGATGTTAGTGGCAGAAGCACACTCTGGAATCTGACCCAATCAACTAAAAGTTGTCACTTATTAGACTTCATTTAAGAAACACCTTCAAGTCAAATGTTTTGAGGTCACTGAATGTGTGTTTCAGCTCTCCTCCGGCACAAGGAGAGGTTCTGGAAGTGTTTCAAACAGACTGGATCACACAAACATGTTCCCATTGCTCCTTCAAACATCATGTGCGGGATTCGTTCTAATTCTCTGCATTTAAACATGGACACGTTGAAGTGCTGTCCCTTTTGGACGTAAGAGTCCTGTCTACTACAACAAACCTCTAGCACACGTTATAGTACACAATGATCAGGTGGCTCCAGAGCTCTGCGTGGTGACAAAGTGTTTTCTTAAATGTCAGCGATGCTTTAAGGACAGTCTTTGCAGCTACTTGTGAATGCTCTCAAATGCAATCCATTGTATGAACTAAACTTGGATGATCTAACATCAGAAGAATCACATGATGGGCTCACATTCCAGATGGTGATGTATATACTTGAGTGTGTCTGATGGCTCAGCTGCACTGTCTTTCAAACGGTTACATAGTGCTCTAAAACATTCATCAAAGCCTTTCACCATGAACCATACCTTGCTCTTAGTTTATCTTTGCCTCAATGTTTTTATTTGTTTCATTATTCAGTTTGAACAAGTGTTGCTACTCAGACATTGCTTTATTACGATGGCCTCCCTCTGGTATAGTATGTCCTATGTAGCTGTGAGTGGTGGTGGAGAAGAGAAGTGGTGACCAAGAGATGTATGCACCGGAAATCACCTCAAAATGCGACGTGAATTTGAGATTATATATGTTCTCTAAATAAAGGGACCTCTAGTCTGTGTACTACTTTCTTTGACACTAAAAATAAAGCAAGAGCTTGGAAGTGCCTAAACATACGACTGATTTTAAGTTTTATTTGAAGCTTTCTAACACAACTTCTTAGTCACATCTGAGGACAGAACAATGTGTGCAGGATGAAGTGTTTAACAAGAGTCTCACTGGAAAGCTTACACGTCACTGAGCTGACACTATCCAAAGCTTACTTCACCTCTCAGATGCGCATGTAATCATTTTGAGGGTAAGTATACACATTCCTCTATTTGTCCCGCAGTGGGGAAAAGAACATCAATACAACAGCAGACATAAAGTGAAGAGAATAAACATACATATTGAACAATAATTAAGTAGTATAAAGTAAAACAAACTAATTGCAGGTAAGTACACCATGGTAAAAAAAGTAGCAGTATTTTTATTTTTTAAAGGAGACCATATAAATGTAAGAGGTAGCTGGTACTGCTTGACTAAATACATTGATATGAAAAATAAAGCTTGAATTCGATGAGGTTATTTTGCACATGAATATTGGACAACGTTTTATATTTCCAGACTGTTATTGCACATCAGGGGTATTCCAGTCTGCGAGTGTGGGGGCCTACCAGGGGCCATGTTGGTTATACAGTCTCAGGGGGTCCGCGGGGTCTTAAAAAGCATTACAAGTTGATAAATCAATTTAATGAAAATTAAGAATTTAAAAAGTATTAAAGGGCATTTCCCAAGGTTTTACATTTTGTAGCTTGTTTCCAATAAGTATATAAATGGTCCAAAGAGGTTGTGTTCTACAGTCTGCCTGAATGTAATCATTGCGTAGGTGTGCAGTGTGATTCTGTGTAGTTTATTGATGGCATCCCGTTGGGTTTGACGTCATCTGAACAGGACATCGCGCGCTCACTGCTTGATAGCGCGAAGGTCCGTTTACGCCGGTTGCTAAACAACATCGATATGGGGAAATGCAAGTCTGCGTCCAAATGGTTGGAAGATAAGGAAGAAGGACCATCAATACTGTATCTAGTAAATGTATAGTGTGTCTTAATGAGGTCTTAAAATGTATGGAAAGCGTCTTAGAAAACATTACATTTGACTTCAGGATTCCTGCATATACCCTGAGTCTGATCCCTGCTGGAAGGAAGGCCCTGCAGAACCTCTCTGAGATACCGGGGGCAGCAGTCTGTCGCTGGAGGAGCTGCACAGTGCAGACATGGTCTCTGATTGGTAGATGCCCATGTATCTCTTGAGCCACTGCTCAAATTACACATTTAATTAATTGGGAAATACATATATAAACCAGCTTTACTCTACTGAGAATATCTAAGCCCAAAAGAGGACAAATTGGCTCTGAAACCCTGAAACATATCATTAGAAATCTACAAATTGACAAGCAGTGTTGTAAAGTGACTAAGTAGATGTATTCAATAACTTAAGATGTTTGTACTTTGTTCTTCCACCCCCACTACAATTCAAAGGTTAATCATGTACATTTATGTAATCCCTTTAGTTACTTCACAGATCAGGATGAATGATGTGAAATATAACCAAGTGTTGAATCAGACTTTAGTTCAACCTGGAGTAAATCCACCAGCTACCCTGCAGTATACAAAGCCATTCAAACTAGCTGCACCTTTACCAGCTTTGAGAACACTTTCATGATCAATCATTATAAAACATATCATATATATTATTCTGAAATGGACCAATCTGCACAACTGACTACTTTACTGTCCTACTTCACTATTTGATGAGAATACTTTTATACTTTTCACTTGAGGAACATTTTGAAACAGGACTTTTACTGTAACAGAGTATTCCTACACTCTGGTACTTCTCCAAGTCATTTACAGATATAACACTTAATACATAATTATTTAATTCCATATTTGTAAAGTTTGAGAAATGATTTAAAAGTGTTAAAGAAAACACACCTGAAGACTAACTTCATTTATTTTCTAGAAGCTGCACTAATACATCTGAGATAATGTAAATGTAGAGGTCAATTTGTTAAATTAATCAGACAAAACGTTTCGGGATCTACTGTGGCTCTTACACCAGGCAAAGAGAGGGGTTGTTCATAAAAGTGTTTTCCTCTTAAAGGTCCCATGTCATGCTTTTCCGGGTTATCACCCGTCCCCTTGTGTGTTATGAAGGTTGTTCTGCATGTAAACGGTCTGCAGAGTCACAAACCCTCAAAGAACACCCTGTAGGGAGTAAAACTCTAACACAGAGAAGACCTGTCTGTGCTGCCCCAGAACGCCTCGTTGGACATTTCTCTTTTTCCATTGTTTGCTGCCTGGGTTCTGTGACGTGTGAAAACCCAAATCAACAACAAGTGACCGAAGCTTCTACTGAAGCTTTACCGAGTAAATCGCCAGAACGCCGACACCTCCTCATCTCCACCACTCCCATGTTTTCTTTTGTGTTGCCATAAGTTAGTCTCTCTCCGTTGGTGCGCTGGGCTAATGCAATCCGCCCAGCCAATCAGAAATGGGAACCTTTTTCTCCCATGAAAGTACCTGCTCTCTAGCAGGGACTACAAAGGGGGTGAAAAGGTTCTCATGAACTAAGTTCTAATTCCAACATTTCAAGAACTATCGGAACTATACTGGGAAAAGTACTCCAGTGTGAAAGTGCCTAATAAGAAAGGTTGTGGTTCTTATATCCACATTTACCCATGTAATACCTAGATAATATTTCACAACAAACAAACCTTCATGTGTCTCTTCCCTGCTGTTTAAATATTTTCCCACAAACATCACACCCGAATGGTTTGTCTCCTGTGTGGACTCTCGTCTGTGAATCTCCCTTTGGTTTCACTCAGATATATTTCTCACGTACCAAACAGCTGGGGGACTTTAGTCCAAAAATGAACTTATAGAATCGGAAGTGTTTTTCCCTGGCTACACGCCACATGACTTACAGGAGCATATGAACCACGCCGAGGGGCCGGGGGCTCTTTCCAGTCGGCTTGATCGAAAATGATTAAACGATTAAGGTTTTGTTTCTAAACCTTAAAAAGTTGTAGTTAAAGATAAAGAATAGATAAAGAAAGTGTGTTTGTTTGGCCCAACTTGCTGAGTCAAATAACTTACCCAACTTGCTGGGTTAACCTCACTCAGAGCGTGCTCTATACTTTAACCAGCAACTGGGTTATTGTTACCCAACTTATCCCTAAGATGTTACTGACCCAAATGGAGTTGATAGGATGAAAACTGTAGGAGGATCTGTTCAAATGTGGGGCCCGAAAAGTGCGAAAAATTAAAAAATGGCCAAATGTTGGGTTCCGACATGCCTCCAAGAGGTTTTTTTGTGCCCACAGACCGGTTTCAAAATTGTAGGTTTCACCTGAACGAGGGGCACTATAGAGCTTTATGCTGACGGTCCGAGAACGCGACCCCCCCTAAATATAAAATGTTTCACCAGTCCTGACAAATTTGTGAACAAAACAAAAAATCAGTAAACGTTATGGTCTTGAAAAAGGCTATTTACTTCTAGGAAACAAATAAAATAAGAAAAAATAAACAGAGCAATTCTAATAGGTCCTTTGCTCCGAGCCCTATAATAATCTAGTCTTACACAGTTGAGGTTTAATCCTATTTGCCTAATAAATTGAGACGCAGAATAAAAACGTCAGTCTTTTTAAAACTCTACACAACACTGAAGTGACAGCTGTGTGTTGAACTGTGTTATACTGCACTCATTCAGAGCCTACGGTGAAAATGGAAATGACCGCTTCTGGAGACATATCAGGGAGTCAAATCTACAAGACTTGCATAATGTAATGTAATCCTCCTTCAGCCATCAGTGGCTGGTGTCCCTTTGGACCACTATCTGCTGTCAACGCTGAAGGAAAGAAGCCATGTGCACAGAGGATAATGAACATTACCAAATGTGTTTAATGACAATACAATCTGAAGCTTTACTACTTGTCCCTTCTTCCAACAGGTGAGTATTTTTCAATATGACCCTCCGCCTTTCTTTTGTGCAGACATTCAGAGTATGTTGTGACTGGTTAGTAGCAGAAACATCTGGAAGGCCGGGTGGTAATTAAATCCCCCAGATCTAACACATTATTTGATCACTTCTACTACTACTTCCATCATCAAATGAGAATGCACACATCATGTCAGAGAACCTACAGCAGAATAATTCACATATTATATTGTGAGTTCAAAAAAAGACAATGTCCAACATAATTGAAACAAAATCTAAAAAACATCCAATAATCAAAACACACATTAGAAATAAAGTCAGTAATAAAGACAGTTTAAGCCATGGTTGATTGGTAATTACAGTAACATGACATCAGGTATCTCTTCTGTTTGTAGTGCCCTCTGCAGTAATCCTTCCTACTTGGTCATTTTAATATGGAGTCTGTTCTCCACATGTATTTGTTGACGAACCATAATGGGTCTCATTCAATTCCCTTGACTTTCAGTTCATCTCGGACTCGGCTGAGATAATCAGGGTCTGGGTATCCATAGCTGCAAACACAAGAACACACATTCAGGGACTTGATGTCAAGAATATCAGGTTTACTGTTGCTGTGCCTCCTGTGAAATCATACGAGACATCTGTACTGGATTTCAGTGTCAGAAGGTACTCATGCCATAAATTCATAGGAATGAATGATTCATTGTAAAGTGAAAGAAATCAGGTTGTGCCATTACATGAGAGGTAATTATAGCAGTACAATATACTACAGTAGTATTCTGCAGGGTATTTACTTCAGGTGTAACTGAAGTCTGATTTAAGAGTTGCTTATATTTCACATCATTAATCCAGATCTGTAAACGGTACTTGTGGGTTATCTATCTGTCGCCACTTTTTAATAGCGGGTAGCTGGTTCGTCCATATTAACTTTTTAATTTCTCAAAATAACAAACATTAATCCTATTTTGCGGCGATGGGTTAGAGAGTCTGAAAAAAACAAGAAAAGTGGCGACAGATAACCCACAAGTACCCTGTAAAGTAACTAAAGGTATTAAATCCATGTAGTGGAGTAAAAGTACACCATTTACATCTGTATTGTAGTGGGGCAATGTAGCAAAACTGTGAAATACTCAAA